GAGCACTGAATGTGAACAAAGGAAATTAGGAGACTGAGCTGGTATCAAGCTAACCACACCAAGATGATGTCACACATTTACTCCTAAGATTGCCTCGGCTAGTTGGCCAAGGTTGACGTGGACATTGCCAACGTTGGCCTCTCCAGCTCCCTGACCAACAGCTCACAAGTCTCTGTTCTGATTGGCATAGTCATCCCCTCAAAATGTCCATTGGGTTGCAGTCAGACATTTCAGGATCGGATCCATTCTGTTTCTTTAAGGAACCTTCTTTTCTGCTCTGGCCACCGTTTATTTGCGCCTGTATAGTCCTGGGGTCAGGGCGTGTTTGAGGGGCAGAGCCTCAATGGAGGCTTTTCTACGCAGTGGAATGGGGTGTTGGTGCTCCACGACAAGCTCCCTTCAAAAGAAGCTCAAAATCAGGCAATAAGAGAGGAGTACAGTTATTCTTGCTAAAATAAATCACACCGCTTAATGTACACAAGAGATAGGAAAGAGAAGAGAGCAAAGGAATTCTCTCCAGGCAAATGTTTACTGTTCCAACTGCATGATTACAGATGTCCATATAGAGTTCTCAGACACATATTTTCAAGCTCCCCACACCCATACGGAGACGATGTCACGATTTCCCCTTCCTCTGAACCCCTGCCGCACATGGAACCATTCAAATGCCACCCTTGCCTTCAGTCACCTTTTTCAGAGTTGGTTTAATTCTTGATGTCTTTGAAACTCCTCTCATTTAGAAGCTACTTCAGCTCTCTGAGGTACCCGTGGGCACAGCTGAGTTGGCACCCAAGCGTGGGGCCCCCATCTGCAGCTGTCTTTCATGAGGAACAGCTGTCCCAAGCCGAGTGAGTGATCCCTCTCCCTAACCATCTCTGTGCACCCCCCTTATGGAATGGCTCAGCTAATGTGGAGCCTCGTGGGGTCTGGGGCATGTCCCACGACACCAGCTCCTATGGGAGGCTGGTTTTCCTCACCTGGGGAGCTGGGGGAGCAGACACACCACCTCACCTCTTCTTCTCTTCTGTGTTCCTGGACCACAGCCGATGAGAGGGATGTCCAGAGGGGTCTTTTCCTGCCCTCCCTGGTGGCTTGCACTTGGGGAGTGCCCTTGCCCCTCTGCATTCTGCTCTGCCAGCTGGTCTTACTCCGTGTGGAAAGCTTCATGTTTGTTATCCTTCTCCAGCGTTTCCTTGTCCGTGGCAAGTAGTGGGTTTAAGCCCCACCTTCAGTATGACATGCATTTGCACATTCGTTGGTGACCTACGTGCACCAGGCTTTGTTCCAAGTGCTGGAGATACAACAAGTGCTTTCCACAGCAGTACCATGACTTCAGTGTGTTGCAGAGGCCTGCAGATGTTTTCGTAATGCTGTTTCCAGCCTGCTCATCCCTGATGGGCTGCAGTCCGTGTTACACATGGAGTCCTTTGCAATAAGATTTTTTTGTCCTCAGGCAAATGCCCAAGGTAGGAACATGAGGTTTTGTTACAGTCTGAAAGACATCCTTAAGAAGACTGGTGCAAAGCAGAGTTGTACCTAAAATTTTCTGTGCTCCATGGGGTGTGTGTGTTTGTGTGTGTAATAAAACTGGGGAGCCGGTTTGCAGAAGGGGCCGATGATACAAGTTTATGGTCTACTTTATGGTGTGGATCTCACTGGGAGAGCCGAGTTTGCACAGCCACTCCTTGTTTCAGGCAGTTTAAGACGCACGGAGGCTGTGATAACTGCTCCCATTCCTGTTGGCCACCCCGTGGACATCTCCTGGTCCTGAGGGAGCAGTGTGTGATTTCCCATAGTCCCTCGGCAGAGACCTGCCGAGGCATGCTTTGCCCATCCAGGTGATGGGATGCTCGCTCTGTGTGGTCAGCAGGTACAGCCAGGTGTTCTCTCAGCTGACGTGGCCACAGTGTTGCTGGAGGCCACTTCATGCTTCTTCATCATGCTCTATTTAAAACAGGGGGCCGGTGGTCAGTCACCTTTTCAGCCCGAGCATGGCTAGGCGGATTTCCTGATTCTGCAGGCCTAAGGAAGGCAGGTCTCCTCAATCTTAGCTGCACATTAGAATCACCCAAGAGTATTTAAAAATCCTGAAGCCCAGGCCACATCCCAGACTAATTCCGCCAAACTCTCTACGGGTGGGACCCGGAACTCCCTGAGTGATGTCACTGTGTTAATGAGACTGACTGCTCTCAGGGAAAGGAGAAAAGGTGAAGACAAAGCAAGATAAGAGGGAAGAATGATCAGGAAGGAGAGAAGAGACTAAGGGCTGCCCAGGTGTGGGGGAGAGGGGTGGTCCAGCCAGCAGGTGCCCAGTGCTCACCTGCGAAAGGGTCAAGGCCAGCTGAGCGCCTGGCCCCCTGGCCCCAGCCCGGGATGGGAATGTGAGGAATTGCGGCAGCACTGGGATTCAGGTGCAGTGAATGCATCTGGTCTTTCCATCAGATAAACTACTTACTAGCTATGTCTCCCTAAACAACAGTTCACTTGAAACTCTCTGAGCTTCTGCACCCTCAGCAACGAAAGAGAGATGTTCACTCCTACTTCAGGGTCATGGTATGGATTTGATGGAATGATGGTGAAGTTGGGCACATACCAGGCGTTCCGCAAGTGGTGACTTAATAATAAGCATTAGGAGAAATTTCCATTTCTATTTCAATAAAATTTCACCAACTCTTCTCACAATTATTTCCCTCCACTCTCCTGAAAGGCAGAGGTTCTGGAACGTTGGTTTAGGAGAGCTGATACAAAGCATGGAAGGGCCCAGGCTGCTGCATTGTCACCACGCTCCAAGGTGATTCCGATGCAGCCAAAGCCGGAGCCTTGCTGTCAGATAACACAGAATCCTCACCATCTGTAGGTGAGGACATGGAAGGTCAAAGAGAGGCATGGGGGATGCTCTGCAGCTGAGTCTCACCAACTTCCACTTCTTGCTTCTCACCTCCTAGTTTCCTGAAGTTTCTAATGATTTCAGTGAACTTCTGCCCCACCCCAACATAGAAAAGAGGGGTCTGTGAGGCTCGTTGGGGCCGGCAGCCACACAGCAGGGTAATTTTGGCTAGGTTCCACCTTTCATTTACAAGTCAAACTGAGAAGAACTCTAAAACTGGCATCCTCTGAATTAGTAACCCTTAGCCAAACAAGCCGAAAACTTTTTCCTTTCTGACTGCAGAGGCAAAAAATGAGTTGTCTCTCTCGCTTTTTGTACTCGATCGCCCTCTCATCTGAAGCCTTCGATCATCAGCTCTGGGAGTGCAAAGTGAGACAAAACCCCCTCTCAGCGTTCGTATTTATTTTTAAAGGCATAAGAAGCCCCTTGGACCACAATGAATCAAAGAGTCTGTGCATTGACGGGTTTCCTTGGGTATTGTGAGAACATTGGTCTGTGGGAACCCAAAGGACCCTCAGTGGATTTACTGCTTATTGTTTTTGTTGTAACTATAGTAGGAAAAAGGATGTGTCTGCCCATGGGAGCAGCTACTGCAGGGGCCCTGCTGGAAAGACCTGGGAGCTGAGAGACATGGAGCTGTGATGATGGAGCCCCGTCATTAGAAGGGGTCCAGGGAGCATTGAGGGGAGACCCTCCTACTCTGCAGTGTAGCGTCAGTCCCCCAGGTTCTCTGAGGCAGAGTTGTCACCGAGAGCAGCCTAGCCGCTCAGCTGGCTGGCAGCAAATCTTCCCGTTGCCCTGGTTGGCCTGGGAAAGTGGAAAACGCCATGGAGACTAAGCCTGGACTACGGGATGGGCAGGCAGCCCACCTCCACCCCTTCTCTCCAGGGGAGCACATGGTGCCCGGGAGCCCCTGCAGAGCAAGGGAGCAGGCGGGGTTCATTTCCCGCTTCGTGAAGGGGGAGAGGGGATTCCTGCTGCAGTTTTTGCTTAAGGACAAGAATTCCTAGCAACACTGAAGGCTTCTGCTTCATGGCAGGATTTTAATTTCTCTCCCCTGTTCTTCACGATTTGGCGAGGGTGCTCATTTGATTGAGAAAAGCAACTTGATAAATGACGTTTATCTTCATATTGCTAAAACTCATTTTCCACAACCTGTCAGGGATTAATAAAATATCTGCTAGGAACCTTTAGAGTATTTGGAAGGGAGAAAAGGGAAAGGAAGCAAGGAATGTTGCAGAAATGTAAGGTTTTTAAATCATGTCAAAAATTGTGCTTAACTACCTGATAGATAACTAGCATAGATTGCCATATGCTTATTTAGCTGGGACCCTGGAGTTCTTTCTTGAAGGAATGGGGATATGAAACATTCGTCAAAATACCTGTTTGACATGTGTCAAAATACAGAATTCTTGTTGAATGAGAAAACAGAAAGCTAAATGAATGAAGAGTCAGAATCATGGCACTCACACCAGTAATGACATTTCCTATCTATTGGGCACCTACTGTGGGCCAGGTTCTGTCTGAAGCACTGCACATGTCAGCTCATTTCATCTTCCCAAGAGACCTAACCTGTGAGTTAGGTACCATTATTATCCTCATCTTAGAAAGGAGGATGAGCTAACTTGATGAAAATCCTTGACTCGAACAATCCAGGAATGTCTCTTCAATGTTGGTGTCCATCCAAAGACCAATGGTAATATTCAGACCATGTAACGGTCAGGCCCCTTGCTAGGATGTGCTCCTTCCCTAGGATGGAGTTGGGGACCCTCCCTCCCACACACCAATCTGTGGCTCTCTGGGAACCAAAGCCATGGGATTAGAACTCCGTTGGTATCACCCATCTTGCTTCATCTTTACAAATGGCACCGGGAGAGAACATGTGGAGGGGTCCTGCATAGAATAGGCATCGGCACTTCCAAAGGTTTGAAACCAGATGAGAGACTTGGGGGCTCTGGAGGGGTCCAGAGCTGCCTTCTTGAAAGCTGGGTGTCCTGAGAATCTGGCAAGGCTGCCAAACCAGGCAGCTTTCTTACAGTCTGTTTCTAACTCTCTGGTCTTTTCTCCTCATGTCTTGAGAACTTATAAACTTTTTCTTTTCCTCCCATTCCAGCAACTTTGCCAAGCACCAACAGGCTCTCAGGAAATGTTCAGCGGTGGGTGGACCATTCATTCTGGCTCTCCATTGCAGAATCTTTGTGTGTCAAGGGCAGGAAAGTAGGTAAAAACAGCCATTTGCTCAGCACCCATGCTGTGCATCAGGAAACCTGCTCCGAGATTCCCAAGCAGGCTCGAGAAGGGAAGCAGAGAACAGGCCATAATGTCCTTGTCACTTTATTTTACTATTATTTTTAAATTGCGGGCTTGTGCTTTTCCATTAATTTTAATTGAGTCAAGCCCCATGACTTTTGTGATCCCCAAATCCTCCATAAATTTGCTGCAACTGACTGTTTTTTTCCCCTTGAACCCCTCTCCTTTCCTCGCCTGGGAACGTGCCCTTTAAATTTGACATGGCTCGGATTTTAATCTCTCCTCAAAGGCACAGTGACAATTTCACAACAAAGCGAGGAGGTTGGATGGGGGGAGGGAGTTTTGTTTTCTGCTCCCATTAAGAGAGCAACTGTTCTCTCTTTGTCCCGTGGGGCCAGCTCTTGGCACCAGACCGGGGAGACCTCAAACTTGGTGTTGCAACATCCATCAGACCCAAGTCAGCCTGGGCTCCTCGAAGGTGAACTGCAGCTGTTTGGATAAAATTCTAAAATCTTGTTTGTGAGATTCTCAGCCCTTGTTTTACAATCGCTGTTCCTGGCAGAGAAACCAGGAAGTTTTACTTTCCCAGGATCCCAGGCAGGTAATTGTTTTCCCAAACTGTGTTTTAATCTCTGATGGAAATGGACCTTCTCTGCTCGGAGAACCTTCGCCCACGGCTATAAACCGTTTGTGTTCGCCTTGCACGTTAGAGAGGCCAAGCAACCTTGAGACTTGATTACAGAATGTCCCTCCCGCCCCCTAGATGCATTTCCATCTCTGGTTATAATTTAGGGCCATTTACATTTCTAAACAACAGTTAAGAGCCTCTTAGCCTCTTGGAATCTTAGAGCACTTCCCTGTCAAGCCGCTGGCCCTGTCCAGGTGGCAGATGATCTCCTGAGGATGAGAGTTGGCAACACCCGTTACTCGGTGCCATTTTTCGGCCAAGTAGCATAAACTGTGACTAGCTGGTAGTTTACGCCACAACCCACAACCAAGTGCCTTTGCGGCCCCTGCTCTCCTGTTGATTTATCCTGAGGCCCCTCACCTGGGGGACACAACTCAAAACTAAGACCTCAGAAGCCTCTACAGGGCATCGGGCCTGTGAGCTTAGGGAAGTGACTGATGGCCAAATATTGAGAGGTGTGCACATCCTACCAGCCTGCAGGCGGGCTTGGTGGTGCTGATCTTTGGAGGAGGTTCATTCTCCACGGTGTCTCCTCCTAGAGGTGAGGAGGGTGTGTTGCAGGAAGTGCGTCCCAGCCCTGCCTTGTGAATTGTCAGTCTGCACGCAGTTTTGGAAGCCCAACTTCTCCTCCACATCCTGGCGCCCTGCTCCTCCAGCCCCTCCGAGAGCCCACCAGCACCTCTTAGCCCAGAGTTCGGGGCTCCCTTTCCTGAGGGTCACTAAAAACTTAAAAGCCAAAATACCGGAATGGAAAAGTCTGACTTGCCATAATGTTTTTGTTATTCATCAACCAATATCAAGCGGTTGGGCCTGGTGCCGGGTTCCCCAACGTGGAGAAGTCGCGATCCAGTTTAAAACCCGAGGAAACACTCCAGTCCAAGGCCGTCTGCAGCCAGGGGAGGTGGACGGTGAGATGGGCAGTGAGGAGGGCCTCCTGGGCGATGGGGAACTCGTCCAGGGCCTCCAAAGGTGCGCCGTTTAGAAACGCAGAGAGGGAGAAGAAGCCTTTCCAGGCTGAGCGGGCAGCGTAACACGGGAGGCTCAGGGTGGGTATTCAGAGAACTTCTGGCATGTTGTCATGGAGGGGACCTTTCCTGGACTCAGAGGCCCCGGGTTAGGGTTTTTTAAGGTGTTCTTTGTGCTATTCCTCATTTTGTGGAGAGGCATGGTGATAAAGGCGAATTAGATGAGATACCCGAAAAGATATGGCTGAATAGTTTACCCTTCACCTGCCCTTAGGAAAGGCATGTTTGGTACATTCTACTTGAGGGGTCCCAGGAATCGACTAAGACTGAGTATTCCTTGCCCTTAGCCACTTACCCACACACCTGCCGCTCACTCACTCATTCACTCGCAATTTTATCCACTAACTCATTCATTCATTATTTCATTTACTTGTTCATTCAATCAACAAACATTTTCTGAGCAAGCACTTACTATGCACTGGACACTGTGCTAGACAGACAAGCATCTTACCGTGAACCAACAGCAGGAAGGTTTTAGAATCCTGGTCCCCACGTGCCTGACCACCCACATCAGCCTCCGAGGCCTCCCTCATGCCCACTGGGTCTCCAGTGTTAGAAAGATGTGGAGAGAGGACGAGAGACAGACCAGTTTCTCAGGCTGAATCTCATCATTATGGAAAATACTGATTAGTCTGCAGGTAATTTCATCACAAGGGTTCTCAAAACACTCATTTCCATTCCTGCCACTGCTCCCTGTCCTAATAAAGTAATATCCTGTCAGTGGACCGTGCAGAACGCTGACTGGAGCAAACTGAATGGCTCGTCTGGGAGCGTACGCAACTAAATGACAACGGCAGTAGTTGTAGCTGAGATCAGTTCTTAGATTTACCTTTGCTTGAAAATGCCATCCACAATTTTCATGTGGATGTGAAATTTTTACCTTTCCATCATCCCAAGTCAGCTCTCTGGTGTGAGTGCCTCCAGTGGATTCCAGTGAAGCTGGTGCTACTGCTCCAGCCCCCATCACCCTGTTCTGAGAGGTGCAAGCTCCACAGAAAGCTTGAGAGCAGAGGTCACCTGTCCTGCAGTCTCTAAACATGTGTCTAAATAGATGATCTCCTGAATGGTCCCAATAACTTCGCTATCCCATATGGCATGGGGCTCCAGGCAGCCTAGTCTCCCTGAGAACACTTTTGGTCACCTGTGTAGTGGGAAGAGGATAGAACGGGGTCAGAAAATCTGAATTTGAATCCCATCTCTATCATTGAATGGCTGTCTGGTCCAGGCCACCTCTTAACTTCTCTGAGCTCCGGTTTCCTCACCTTGAGTTTCTTCTTAAACCTGTTAGTGAAACAGGTTTAGCACCAATAGGGACCTCAAATGAACTAACCAGGGCTGGAATTCACCTGGGATGCCCCAGTACAGCTGTGTCAGTTGTTTACAGCCGGCTGAAGTTCATTCTCATTGGCATGGGTGCACACCATGCTGGTTGTTAAATATTTTGAATATGACTCCTGGAAATAATTTATGTGAAAGAGCTTGTAGATAGTACAGCACACCGTTAGCTAGGTTGACTATGGCATGTGGGTAGTTGCCACTTGCAAGTGTAACTTAAAATATGTATTCCCTATCTACCTTTATTTCATCAGCTGACAAATTAATAATCTTCAGATTGGCCTATATCCTTTTAGGCTCAACAAAAGAGAAGTACTGCAACGTTTAGATCCGAACATTCTTATCCAGTATTTTTTCATGAGTGCCAACTCATTGGCTCCCTGAGCTGCCAGGGGATGAGCCATGTCTGAGTCTTGGAAAGTGACTGCAGGACCACTCCTGTTGGCCTTTTTTGAATGAAGATTATATTTGAGGAAGGTGACTGTTGACAAAATACAGTAGACTTCTATAGAATGTCAGGATACCCCTTGGCTGTGATTGGTGGTTCAGTGTGGCAGCTTAGATGAAATGGCAGACACTAAACATTTTTCAAAGGGAGTTTGCTGTGTGCTTCTTAATGGAATTCTACAAAATTCAGCATTTTGGTGGAGATGACAGAGAGATGTGATTATAATGGAAAATGGACTTTCCGTTCTTCAGTTGGTTTTCAGAGAAGAAAAATATGACTTGGTGTTTAACTTCAGACAAGGATGTAATCGACAGGACACCCATCCGCATGTATCAGGGAAGGAAGAGTAGAGAGGCAGAAATACAAAGCCAGTGCAGACCTCCGTGCATGCTGCTGCACCTGCTGGAAATCCAGGTTCCAGTTCTGTTTCTCAGTGAGTAATGTTCCGGGTTCATAGTCTTGTTTGGGTTCCTTGGCATTCAGCAAAACAACTGCTAACCTAGAAAACAGGTAATCTGGGTTCTGGAATGGACTATGCTACAAACTGACATATGACTCAGGATAAATCATTTACCTTTTCTAGGTCTCAATTTATCATCTGTAAAATGAGAAACAAAATAGTACTTATTTCATAAGGTTTTTATAAAGACTAATGAGTGTGTATATATATATGTGTCTGTGTATACCTGGATATATGTATATCTGATAATAAATACTTGTGTATATATAATGTATATTATATATACATAAATCTCCTTTGAGAATTAAATTAAAGCTCTGTGCCTTCTCCCCGGAAAAATTCACAAACACAGGAAACAGCCTGATATTTTCGGGGAATCTATGGATTTGCCGAAGCTATAAGCATTCTAATAAAGAGTTCTGTTATCCAAGGGAGGAAACCATGGGTCTGATGTCTCTTTCCATGCTAAAATTCTTGTGTGTTTCTCACTTAAAAGGAAACGGCAAGTCAAATTTAATTATAGCTAATATTCTACAGTAAATATTTATGATCACCACCCCTTAAGATTTCTAAGCTCAATTAAGTCAAGAGTATACCAAATGATTAAAAACCTGGTGTAAAAAAGAGGTTTTCTACAATTATTATAGTTCCTAGTAACAGAGTTTGATATTTAATAACAGGGTAAATTACTATATGGACATATATTAATTTATTTCTAAGCTTAACTCAGTATGAGGAATAGTTTTTCATTCCTCGCTTGTACAGGGTGGAGATGTACTTTCTTCTCTCAATTTGTTTTTCCACGTCTATTTAGAGCAACCCAAATAGGAAAACTACCACACTGGTCCTAAAATTCACTTCCTCCATCCGTTGTCTGTACTCTGTTCCAGGTCTGATGAATATAACTTTTTAAACATGTCATTTATTTTTATTTTTATTTTAGTCTAAATATCCCTTCAGAAACACCAGGGGAAAATATTTTTAGCTTAACTAAGAAAACAAACATGTTTAAACAAATAACACCCACAACGTTCAGGTAGAGTTGGTGTTTTTGGCATTTGTGTATTTTAGCAGTGAGCCCATAAGATAGACGCTGAAATGAAATTTTTCTTCATCTTAAACATGCCGATTTCTTTCTGAAATAAAATAAAGAGAACAATTGATCTCCGCTTTTATATTGGAATTAAACTTTTTGTTATTTTGAAAGATGATTTCAAGCTAGACAATATGCTGCCTTTTTTCCCCTCAGTTTTCGATCGCTATTTATAGACATCCTATGCAGAACCAGTGGAAGTGCAGATAATGGTGCAAATGAAGAAAAAGATGGCTAGAAGATGAATGAATGCTGAGTTGAGCCCCGTGCCTCCACCATAAAAATAGACTTCTCTGCCTTCATGACCTCATGGGAGGCTTTTTAAATTTTCAGTAGCATTGATGGTTTCAAACTCTTCACTTCCCATTATGATACCTCCTCTAAAGGACGTGATCCTTGACTCCCTGAAGATCCAAGGTGGAAAAATAAATATATTTTGATTAAAAAGAAGAATCCATCTCACCAGTTCTTCAGGGCCAAGCGGTCCTGGCAGCTTTAATGGCTGTGTTGTTCCTATTCAATAAACAGATGAGTATGAAATGATACTTATGAATGAGTGAATATTCACTGAGTGAGTAAATGAATGAAAGAATGAATAAAGTAGTTGCCCGATGAGATGCTCCATCCACCTTCAGAAGTTGTTCGTTGGGATTGCATTCATTCACTGGGTTTCTGACTGCATTGAACATGAATAAACCCAGCGCTCTGCATTATGGGGGTCAACTGGAATAATCTGTGCCTTGTATGTGTTACCCCAACTATAGGTCAGAGTTGAAGTCTCCATTCTATTAATTGTATTTACTCTCTTTCTCTCCTATAACTTGAAGCATGTTTACCATATGTATTTGATTAGCTTTCGTCCTAAAGTTTTCCAGTTTCATTCCACCTGTTGCACTGTGTAGCTCTTTTGTGAGTGCACTTAACTAGACTCATACAAGAATAAAAGACGTTATCAATCTCTTGGTTGTTGTCAGTAACATCCCTTCCCATCTCATGATTATAAGTGCTTTTCTCTTGCAAGCCTTCTGAACCCTGCTGGGCCCCCAGTTGCTAAGCATTTTCATTACACTTGATCTGAATTTATCAGGATCTGCTAACCTCCCTAACCCCAGCAGTGAATCAGGCTCATTCATGCCATACTAGGAGAATTGCAGGGTGGACACTATGAAATGTATCAGCAGGCTATTTAAATCCTTTCATTTCCTAAAAGGTTAAAAGGCAAGATCTTTGACGTTAAGGTTCTTTTTCTCTAACCCATTAGGCTGACGCAGGGACTGGAACTTGAAAAGTATACAGTAAACGCTAACCATTGGCAGGATGGTGGACTCATATCACACATGGCTATGAATATGCAGGCAAACATGGTTTTTAGGCTTATACAAAAAAAGTTCACTTTGAATTCAGATAGAAGAAAACATCAGTTATAACAGCAAGAAAATCCCACAGAAACTCAGTTTATAATATTTTATCAACATTAACTCAAAGGTAAGTTAATCCTTTTCCAATCTTCTCAAAAAAAGTCTGTTTACCAAGAATACCTAATGAAGGGGTTGTCTTCTGTCTGATTCTAAGTTTTTGGAAGAAGTCACCTGATCGGTATAATTCCCTTTGTACCACCGCCCAGCCAACACCAACAGCAACACAGTGACCTTCCATGACCAGCCTGATGGGTCGCATGCCCCTTTTTCACATTACCATTTGTACCTATGTTTCCTCATGTGCAAAATAGAAATATGAATGAACAAAGATTTTAAAGGGTGCCGGTGGCACCAAGATTTGAAGACTCAAGTATAAAAAGAAGATGTGAGGGAAAACTTGTAGAAGGACAATGAGACAGGGGAAAAGAACTCCAAAATGGGAATATGGCTCTGCATCTCACCGTGTTTGTGGAGGATTTCTTCTGAGGGGGCTAGGGTCTGGGCTTTTCTCCCTGAATGCCAAAGGTGGCAGAGAGGAAGCAAAATGTAGTGTGGTACCATAGAGCTCTGCAAGGATAAGTCAGGGTCATAAACAACAGTTCAAAATAAAAGTGGGGCCCAGGTACGTAAGGTCTCAATTGCTAACATGGAGCATGTCCTATGTACCAGGCACCACTCCACGCTCTTTGCTGTATTATTGTATCCTATTTAAAACCCAGGTTCCGAGATACTGTCTTGTCTGCTTGGTGTTGATTAGTTCTATGATTTATTAATTCCTAATAATAATAATAGCTAACATAGAGTACTTACCATGTGCCAGGCACTGCTTTAAGCATGTTACGTGTAGTAACTCATTCAACCCTTTAAGAACCTAATGAGGTAGGTACTGTCATTATCCTCACTCTACAGGTGAAGAAACTGAGGCACAGACACATTTAGCGCCTTGTCCAAGATCATGCCGTAGTAAGTGGCTGAGCCAGGGTTAAACCCATGTTTGTGCTCTTAACCACCCACATCAGCCTTCCTCTCTTCCTATCATAGAGGATGATAATCCTATAGAGCTATATTATAATCCTAATATTGCTATTGATTAGATGGTGTTTGGTTGTTATAATTGCAAAGAAAACATTGAAAAATGTAAAAGAAAATACACAAATCACCTCTGTTCTCCCCAAAAGATAAAATTTAAAATAGAATTAGAATTACCTTGATGATGGCTGTTGGTATGTACCCCTAAAAGAAAATGCATCTCTTTTTTCTGCATTTAATTTAGAAAACAAGGCCTGTTTGCTTCTGGCAGCCCCTGAGAAGCCCTCCATGGAGTCAGTTAGGGAATGACAGTCACCAGACATTGCTTGGTGTCTACCTATGCCTGTAGACCTGAGAAGCCCTTGTCAGACTTGAAGAATCAGGGGCCAGAGCTTCTCCAAGAGAGTAAACCAGAGCCGCAGAATCAGGCCTATTGGTTCAATGCTGTTAGGCCAATAAGCAGCTCTTATCAAAGATATTAAGGCACCAAGACAAAAACTCATGACGGCTGAGGCTGCTCCCTATGTAGGACACGGTGGTGTTTACATTCAGCTGTTGAGGGTGGCTCGTCCCTTTGGTTTGGCTATCAGGAGAGAAAGTGTAAGAACCGTTGGTCAGCAGTATTTCTAGATACCACCATTGGATTACCTTTCCTCTTCCCACGGATATGCAGATCACCTAAAAAGCCCTGACATTCCAGGAGGACTTTATACTTAATAGAAGATCAGGGAAGCTTTGGAAGTTTGTGCTACCGAGGCCAAATTTACCAGTGAACAGAGCAATCTACGTTTCCTTCCAATTGGAAATAGATCAGAAGTTTTAGGGCGTTAGAAAATGCAAGCTATGTAACAAAATTCTGAGTTCAAGCATCTCCTGGATTTTTGGCTCTTGATGTCAGTTATGGATGATTATAACCCTAGTGTGATTCTCAGTGCAGAGTTGGCAGTCTCTATTAGAACTGCAGCCAACTGCAACGGTGACCTCCAAGATTTGGAAATGTGCCCTACAGGGCTGCCATTCCTCACCTCAGCTTTTGGCCTGGGCAGCCAGTCTCGGTATTGAAAAGATAGCAGCTGCTCATGGCCAAGGGGACTTGCAGGTTCTTGGCAACGAAGGAAATAAGGATGTATAGGAGCCCTCAAAAAGTCCTCTAGTGGGCCCTGCTGCCTTCAGGCAGGACCATCCAACCATCCCAGCCAGATGAGAACAATCCTGTTTTTAATAACCTCAAGAGAAGAAACTCCAAACCCCTTTGTCAACTTTCACTTTGGCAGAATGATCTTTAGTAGCTAGGCTGTTCCTACAGCAAGAAAAGGATTCTGCTTTAGAAAGTAATGTGATTTAAAATGTTCTAGATAGATAGATGATAAATGGAGAGAGAGAGAGGTAGATAGGTGAATAGATGATGGAAGGAGAGAGAGAGAGAGAGAAATAGGTGACTGTGAGAGACAGCTAAACCCCTAGCGATGAGACATATGAGAAATATTTGCTGTAGAATTGTATGCCAGTGGAGTCTTCTAAAACCCATTCAAAACAGATGCTGCCTTCCATCGTGCTCCCATACCATTTTCCACATACCTCCATTATAGCACCTTATCATGTTGCAACAGTAGAATTTGTTAGCTGTTGGTCTCCTTGTCTGCAGTGTGAGCTCCACAAGGCAGGGATCGTATCTTATTCTTCTGTGTAGTCTCAGCATCTAGCCCAGTGCCTAGTTCTGTGGAAAGAAGGAAAGAAGAGAGGGAGGTAGTAGGTCAACCAATAGGACAAATACACTCATATGAGATAATAACGCCCCCTTTAAGGAATGCATCATTCTTAATGCTGTAATCTTTAACGTTTTCCTGCCTAAGCTTAACCTATCTGATGTCCCATTTCTCCTCAGTTAGCTATCACTCTCAAAGTCAACATGATTGTACAATTTGCCCAGTGTTGGAAGAGTTTGTTAATACCCCCATTTTACAAACACCAATTCATTATAATACTATGTGTCTCTGAAATAATTTCCCCAAAAATATATTTCATTAGAGTTCCTTGTTTGTATATATGCATTTTCCATGATCTGAGCAGTGTTGTGTGGTCTCTGCCAGTGAAAGCTGGTATGACAAGCTGTGGGGGATCCTCTTGGCCAATGATGGGTAGTGGACCTTATGCAATGTGCTCAGCCCGTGCTTTCTCTTTGCGTTTTCCATCGGTGAGTATGTTCTGTTTCCTCTGGCTCTCTTTCTGCCATTGGCTGACAGAAGGTGTGGGAGTGAAAGGACTAACTCCAAATGCCATCATGAGAAATTAGGGGAAATGGAGCAAAGATCAGCCTGCGATTCAGATTTGTCGGGAAGTCCTGTGACGTGGTGAAGGGCGTTGTCAATATCATTGTAGCCTGGAAGGAGTGACTGTGAAGAGAACTGGAAGGGATTGGGGCTGGAGACGTGTCACAACTTTGAGGGGATTTAGGAGAATGGGAAGTGACAGGGTGTGATGCTAGGGACACCACTCCACAGTGACCCTGTATGCCCAGGATCGTGTCCCTGAGCCAATCAGGATGTGCTTGCCTATCCCTGCCTCTCCAGGGCTCCTGGCAGCTAATCTGTCTGGAGTTATTCCCCTCCCAAATCCACATCCTCTCATCTTTCAAGGCTGAATCCAAGGTTTGGCCAAGTTTCTCTTCCTCCACAGAATATCCTCCTCCTTCCATTGGAGCTGTCTCTCTCCTCTTTAGCACCTCCTGGCATCCCTCTTTTCCTAGTTAACTCCCTCTCTCTGGAGCATTGTACTGGTCAATCTATAAAGCACTGAGTGCCTGCCACACCTGCAGTCCCCTGCTGCAGAGGGTGGCCAGGAGCACCTCCTCATCCCAAGAGGCCAGGCTTTGTGTCTTGTGGTCCTGCAAGGCTGACCATAACCAATACTGGGTTAAGGCCCATGGTTTAACAAAAAGGCCATGGACTTGCTCTAAGGTAGACAGCACAGCTTTTAAGGTGATCTGGCACAAGGACTCTGCCTATTTGGGGCATTGGTTTTCAATGACAACTGTCTGGTTCAATTAGACCCTCCCTCAGAGTCATCTGTGTTTTCAACATTGTCATATAGTTTCTTTGTTATTTACACTTTCCCTTCGGCTGAGGTCTTTTTTATTCCTTCTCTGGGTCCTTGAGGACAGAGTCTTCCCTAATCTTTCTTTTCTCCTTCACTGTACGTGGGCTCTGGCATTCGGTAAATGTTTGTTGAACAGGTAAATGTGAAACACCAAGGCCTGATGCCTTCACCTGAGGAATAAGTTCCTCCCGTGACTTCTTTTCAGGTTGTGCAGCCAACTCGAGCCAGAGAGGTTTGGGATCAGAAAGGTCTCCCAGCTTTACTGACCCGCATGGACTGGACCACTGAGCAGGGTAGTGGAGGCAGGAACAGCAGTTGACCAAGGATGTGGTTGGAGGGATAAACACAGAAGATGCAGGCCACCCAGGCCAGAGAAGTCTGAGGCTTGGGGCCTGGGAGATGGGGACAAAACAGTCCCAAAACAATGAAGACAGAGCCAGAGACATGACAAGTGATAGCGGCAAGCCCCGGGAGAGGGACAGAGTTACACCAAATGATGTCCATCCAAACCAGAATACTTCTCCCAGTGCTACTACAGCGCCAAACTCCTGTTTCCTCCGCTAGGTTGTAAATTCCTCGTGAGCAGGGGTTGCGTTTGTTCATGTTGGTATGCTCAGGGCCTCACAGGGCCTGCGTGGGGCCTGGCACATAGTGGGCTCCCAGGAATGGTTGTTAACCTGAACTAAATTGATAAAAGAGGATTTCGCAGCCTGTCTTGACGATATCTCCAAAGGGCTACCAAGGTTTCAGTTACCTTGAACATTATGAAGTTCTCTCCTTAAATCTAACTGTGCTTTCTTGACACAGCTTAAGTCCATTTCCTCTCAAATGGCTTAAAATGCATGGGATGATTTTTCAGCCATTTGGGAAGAAGGAATGCTGTGTATAAAGCCTGGATTCAATAAAACCAGATTTTTAAAAAACAGCTCTTAGCATCTTCTACTACAGACACTGGTCTGGGCAGGGCTTTTTATTTTATTGAATCCAGCTGAATAGCTTGACTACATTAATAATGGGGCTTCATTTCTAACCACTGCCTCCCAGTCTTTTCCCCTAAAAGCCTTATGGTACTTAAGCAACTGCTAATACATGAATAATTGCTGGTGGCATCATTTCCTGCCATGATTTGACCACCAGGATGAGGTTTTTCTTCTTGAACATAATCTGGAGTTCTCAGACATGCCATGTGTGGGCCTGCAAGATCATATTTAAAATATAGTAAACAAATCTAACTGCAGCTATGATTTCAGTTGTCCTGAGTTTCTTTATGTTGAGAAATTAAGGATTGGGGAAGATTCTATTGGGTGTACAGTAACATTGGTTGGAAGGGATCCTACCTCAAGGTTGCCCAGAGGTTCAAACCTGATAGTTCTGCAGAGCATGGGCAGTGCCATTTGGCAGGGTCTCCAGGACATACTGGTAGATTTTACTCCCTACACTTCAAAGAAGATGCTATTTATTTAGCTCCCATACAGGTGTACTTCTTTTTGAAGTTTCCCTGGAAAATGACATCTCATCATCAGTTCTCTTTACATCGGACTTGAGTGATGATATCTGCAACAAGGTATCTGTGTAGAACACAGGCTCCTGAAAACACACACCTGTTGACAGGAAGATAGCATAGGGCGCCCAAGAGCACAGACTGGAGCCACATGGCCTGAGTTTGA